CAGCAGAAGACAGAACAGGTAGTAGATACATCTTGTCCAGACAGAGAAGTTTGGAGGTGACCACTCCAGAGAGTCCTTGGAAGGGATCCAAGGGCTGAGTGAGGATGAGGGAGGGCCCAGACCTTGGGGGTAGAACAGCATCCCCCAGAGACTTTTCTCATCTATAGGCATCACAAGACTCTCAGGGCAGGTGCAGGGGTTGAACAACAGAAGAAGGCAGGCGAGAGACAGAGAGTCCAAAGCCCAGGCCTTCCTCCAGTCTCCACACCACCAGTCCATCCCCACCCCGTGTCCCCATTTGCTCAGGAAAACTGATGAAGAGTGGACCTCACCTTCCTTGGCAGCCACAGTCCCCTCCTCTCCAGGCTGCAAAACAGGTGCTTGCATGCATCCCTCTAGTTGATCCCCGGGGGGAGGGAGACACACGTATTTACCTAACTTTTCCTTCTCTCCAGACCTGGAGTTTCTGCAGGTGGAGAAGAAATGCCCCATTCTTCACAACCTACAGGTCTGTTTCCTTGGGCTCCTACACAGTCAAGATCCCAGCCTTGCCCCGGCCAACTGTGTAACCTGCGACAAGATCCTGCCACTCTCTGAGGTTTGAGGGGATTTCTAAGGTTCACTGGGTACTAACCAGCTAACCCTCAGCCCAAGTGAGTCTCACTTCACTATCACCCTGCTGCCTGACACCTGTAGGTGCCACCACATCTCCAAGTTTTGCATGTGTGGAGATCCCTGCCTGGATACCTCCCACCGGCTTCCCAGGCTGATCATCCCTCATCCTATTTCTTTCACTATCTGGCAGACTACTGGAGGCTCCAAGGCTGGGCTAGGTACTTCCTCCACTCATAGCCCCAGCAACTGGGCCACAACATGTGCACAGTGTGCATCCATCTCCCCTGCTCCAGATGGTGGGGTCCATGGTCGCTGCTGTGTCCCAATACTAGGCCCACAAAGATGCCTCTGTAAATACCTGAGCAACATGAGTGGTGCTGATGGGCAGGACCCACAAGGATGCAGCACAGTGGAAAGGAATGAGGGCTGTTGAGCTATGTGACTGCCATGTTCTGTGACCTTAGACAATGTATTTCACCACAAATTCTTGGTTTTCCCAATCCCTAACAGGGTATAATAGTCACCAAGGCTACCCCACAGGATTCTTTTAAGAATGAAGTGAAATGATCACAGAAAGGGTATGGTATGTTGGAAACCTCTGACAAGGTATTTGGAAGTTCCTGAAAAACAGCCTTTGAGGACAGGCCAAGGAGATGAAGGGAGAAGTCTGATGTATCAACCCACTATTCTCCAGCCACATCAAGCTCCAGCCTGGTCCTTGAAAAATGCCAGGCTCCTGCCCACCACAGGACCTTTACACTTGCTCTTCCCTCCATCTGGCATGCCTTTCTCACCATTCATCTCATGCTCCATCAAATGCCACCTTCTCAGGGAGGCTTTCCCAGGTCCCTTAGGCATGATACTGGAACTTTGTTTAATACCTTCACAGTCTGTGTCACTACCTGCACTTACAATATGTGTTTAGTTACTTGTCATCCATCTTCCCTTCTAGAATACCTTTGCCCAGAGGGCAGGAACTGTGGCCTCTTTTGTTAATAGCTGTTTTCCCAGCACCCAGAACAGAGCCTGGCACATAGTAGGTGCTCAGTTTTTAATACAGTAATAACAAATCTTGAGATGGGGACAATGTGAGATACCCTTTTGCAGGGCAAATGAATGCACCAAGGGGTGGCAGGCATCCCCGACTCCCCAGTCTTTCCCTAGCCACTAGAGGGCACAAGCTGTTTTGGCCCATGGCTCTGGAGCAAGAATTCCCAAGACTGAAAAGAGGACCTGAGAAAGACTGATGGGAATGAGGTGCACCTGGGGAACACGTATGCTTGAGGCAGGTTGCTCAGGGTGCCAAAATGGGCATCTGGGTCCAGGTAGTTCTGGCTCAGAGGTGGGAGCCAGGCAAACCTGAGTTTGAGTCCTAGCTCCTTGCCACCTAACGAGGGGGGTCTTGGTTTTCACAATTCTAAAATGGGAAACTAGAGTGCAAAGAGAAGGCTCTGGACTTCCAACTCAGACCCTGCTGTGCTATGTAACCTGGATCTCTCTGAACTTTGGGGACCAGGCTCAATGTTCCTTCAGGGCCACAGGGCCCACCTTCTTACCAGAAATGCCACCTCTGCCATCCAGAATGTCCCGGGGGCCTTCTTTGGTGATAGGCAGGTAACGGGTAGACCGGAAGATGCTACCTTCCCCTTCAGCAGCCTCGGCCCCACCCTCGATGTCCTCCCTCGGAGCTGGGCCAGGCAGTCTCTCTGGGCCTCGAGGCCGATCTGGGGCGGCCAGGCCACCTGCCAGGGGCCCCTCCATGGGTGCTCTCTGCTTGACTCCTCTCAGTGCTGGATTGGCTCAGCGGGTCATTGTGGGTCTGGAGATAGAGAGGGAGGCAATGCTTAGCAGAGGTAAGAAAAGGACTTCTCAGTTTTTTCTCCCTCAAAACTCTAATCCTCACCCTTGCAGTTCATTCCCTCAGTTTACCTCCCAGTTCAGGTGGGCTAGATAAATGGTGCTGAGGTCCCATCCTTACATATTATATTCCAATGACCCCTTCTAGCAGCATGACTCCATCTCCCACGAATAACCCTTTACTGAGATCCTTTACTGCCTCAGTTTACCCCATTTTTACACTGCACACCCAGCCACCTTATTTTCTTGCATCATGAATCCTGTCACTTTTCTCAGGTTCCTCTGTCCATTCACAGACAGCTTCACCTTAGCCAGTCCCACCCTGGCTTCTCTGCACGTGCACACCATATGGCCATGCCTGTTTCCTCACATCCCAGCCACTTCCACATTCTGACCCTATACAGTTACTTAAGTCTCCCCATCATTACCCTTTTACTTTTCTCACTTGGGTTGCCCATATCAATTACTCATGCACTTTTCCCACACTCCAACCCTCCCCCGAAAGACCTTAGGGTTCTCCAGCGTTAACCCCTTCACACCCACATACAGCCTCAAGTGACCCTACCAATTAACCCTTTTGCTTTTCACCAGCATGATCCCTCACGCAAACCCAGCCTGGGTTCCTCCATTCCCCACCCTCCACCAAGAATGCTCTGGTCCGAGGCCAAAAGGGACCCCTGGGGCTTCTGGTCCAGAAACGAGGACCCCAGGGAAAGGGGGGCTGTCTCTCCACCTATAAATACCTTCAAGGTAACGGCAGAAAGTGAAGGGCAGGAATGAGGCGCCCTCCCCAGGGAGATGGTGAGGAGGCCGGGCCCAGGCAACCGGGGCGGGGCCGGGGCTCCAGGCCTGGTTGCAGGCGCTGACCTCAGGGGGCCTGGGGCTCCCAGGGGGCCTGTCGGTGGGCTGGCAGTCTTGGTGGGGGTTTCTGGCCAGGCCTGGAGGAAGCACCTGCAGGTGCCCACCGGGTGGGCACTGCCCGCGGGGAACAGGCTGGACCGCAACTTCGGAGCACTTTGGCAGCTTGGGGAGGGGGCTCCTGGCCAGACGCCCCCAGAGGGCCGCAGAGATGGGGGCTGCGCCGCGCTGGCGCACCCCTTGGGGGTC